TGAGTGTTAAGAGAATGGCGTTGGAAGATCATAAATATTGCTCAGCGACGTGGTTTTTAAGGGTCTTCAGAGAGCAGTATGCCACGATGCATGCCAAACGTGGTAGATACGGCAAATTAGCAAGTACTCCACGTTGGAGGAATATTAAGTTCCCATTGATGTAAGGAACTCGTGCGCTAAACGAATGAGATATTGTAGAAACGCAGAAAAGCAAGCTTCTTCTTTAGTGTAGTTTTTTTCGCTTAGTAAGTTCTTCTGCATGCTGACTGCTTCATGTATACTCCAGTGTAAATAAAGGCACTTATATTATTTTGATTGCCTAGATGTATTCTTAAGTACAACTTTGCGCCTTACAACGGCACTTCAGAAGAGTTAATTGCAGAACCTAGCACTGTATCAGCACTTCATTTAAAAGACCGAAGGTCAATGATAACATACGATCCTAACTTGATGCTGAAACCATCATTTGATGATAATTTCGCAAATAATACTATTCGGATTGAATTACATCTGTGCGCACAGTTACTCATTAACAAGAGAATGCTCTAGTTAATTGTGAACTCTTGCAAGAGACTTGCACATTACGTGTACATGAAGACATAGTTTGCTTGACTTTTCTCAGTTTGCTATTGCTGTTTTCTTCGTTGTTCACTTTTATTCTTGAGATACCCCTTTTTTTTTCGTTGCTGAGTACTTTTAGAAATGGAGTTGCAGATGTGATATTATTTTCAACTTCTCCCCAACAAACCAGTTAAAACAAAAATATATCGAACCGTTGGACGAGATGTGTGTAAGTATGCGCGTGTTTTCTTGGGCGGAGGCGGCGAAAATTTATAGATGTTGACATTTAACATGACAGAGGGAGAGAGAAAGAATAACACTATTAGAAATAAACCGCAGTCCGGGGGTGCTATGCAGGATGGCCCGAACTACTGGGGCGCGGGGGTGCACGAGTTTGCATTGAGCACGCACTACGGCGGTGATGATCCAAAACAGTGTGAAGTGCGTGATAACTGGGCAGGAAAAAACGAAGAGAAAACGATCACTCTGTCACAAACGAATGTGTGGCATTTCAGGTGGTGTTCAAGGAAACCGCGTGCAACTACGTCAGTGCCTCAACTCAAGAAACATGTCAATAGTCCAACGGCGTCATCGTAAATGTTTCGCTGTCTTTCTACAAACTGAACATCGCAGTTCTTATAAGCGTTTTCATGAGCGTTTGTCCTCAATCGGACAAGTTTTAGGGGCGAAGCTCCTGAAAGCGGCACCCGCTCGTCCTTCGTCGTAGTACGTAAAATGTCTTATGGTTTGACCTGCAAGGTGGTGCCGGTGGGAGATTTCTTCTGTGCGTTGTTGAACAAGAAAAAATTCGCAGCGTGCGCGTTAACTAAAAGGCGCATTCTCCTGTCTCTCATTCCCCTTTAACAGCCATTGGCATGTAAATTGAACACAATCTGACAAGCATTATACTCGCAGGGCATAACCTCCTTGGTTTTAGAAAGGTTTAGCAAGCGTTAGGCCGTGGTTTCACGAATACAGTGAACTAGTACATACCATGAACTCGAGGTGGTTATAGGTGGGTAGTAGACACGAAGCGCAAGCCGTAAGAAAAGTGTGTGTGTGCCACCCCTCGTTTGGCTCTTAAAATGTCTGCTGGATGGTGGTGCATATGCGGAATATATGATGAAAAGATGCGAGATGGTGGTACTTGGAGTGTTGAAAAGGATGGAGGAATAGACACACAGACAGATGAATGGACGGACTCATGGATGGCTGCACCGACAGATGAACGCACGGACGGACTCAGGGGCGGATGCATGGACGAACGCAGGGACGGACGCACAGATGGACGTGCTGAAGCACGAACAGACGCACGCACGGACGGGCGAATGAACGCACGGACGGTCACACAGACGGACGCATGGACGGACGGATGCTTCGTCCCACTTCCATCATTCACTCCGTGGATATGCTGCCATTTTTTTTTCTGAATAAGCCCCGCCGCGGTGGTCTAGTGGCTAAGGTACTCGGGTGCTGATCCGCAGGTTGCGGGATCGAATCCTGGCAGAGGCAGCTGCATTTCTGATGGAGGCGGAAATGTTGTAAGCCCATGTGCTTCGATTTGGGTGCACGTTAAAGAACCCCAGGTGATCTAAATTTCCGGAACCCTCCAATATGGCGTCTCTCATAATCATATGGGGGTTTTGAGAAGTTAAACCCCACATATCAGTCAAATCACTCAATCAGCTTTGAAATAAAAAAACACGCAACCTAACACTTACGTAGTGCTGTTGCGCCTAAAGTACGGGCAATGATTGCTTTTTGTTTGACAGTGTTCACATGTATGAATGCTGCCACCAAATTATTATGCGTGGGCGTTGAGCAAGACGTCAAAACTTTCGTTCATCGGACATACCAACACAGTCCAAAATTTCTGCTTAGCTGCATCTATTCGCATTTTAGGAACCGCTGTGGCGTTAGAAGAGCAGCGTTCCCAGGGAGGCTTTGCTTTTCCCTGCAGTGTCAACACGCTGCCGCCTACTGGCCCGGCGCTTCCTGTTCTGCCTCGTACAAGGAGAGGAATCCCCCGGGCGAACTCAGGCATATTATTTTCTAGGCAGTCACCTTCGCTATTTAATGCTTAATGGGCATCGTAATTGGGGCCCACAATCAGTAACACTGCCTTCGTTTTATGCAACAGCTGTCGCGTTTTTTCGTCATATCCAGTCGACTTGGCCTGGGGTAGATGTGTTGGACAGTCCTATCGTTGACACAACAGCCACTTTGTTGCTCCCATTAGTTCCTCTGGCACGCCGCACCCACTCTATTCGTGTGTCTTGTAGCACGCTGTCGGCATCATTTCTGCCTGGCCACCTCCGTGATTTTCATGTGGTGGCTGCGGTGGGTGTTCTTCCTACCCTTGATCGCCTCGAAAGGTGGAGAACGGCCCATTCAGCAATATGCCCGAACTGCTCCCTATTGGAAACAAATAAGCATGTTTTGAGACAATGCGTCGCTCCTCGCGTTTTCTGGAGGGCCGTGCATGCTGGATTTCGTGGCCTTAGAGTAAATCACTTTGTTTCTTCTGGGCGTTCTTCTCGAGGCCGCTTCGCCTGCCTTCTCTTTGTTGCTGGTGCTCGCTGTCTTTGGCGCAATCGCTGTGCGGCGGGTGCAGCAGGTCACCACCCTCATGCTCTCTCCCAAATCTTGGAGCGCTGTACAAAGAACAACTATCTGATTTTCAGAGGAACTCTTCTTTCTCGGTGAGGAGGAATTCCTTTGACACTAGTCCTGCCCTTTTGTGTTTTTTTGCGAGAGACATGTAAAGCTTGTGCTCAGGCCTGCCTGGTTTTGGTAGGTTAATGTTTATTTAGTACTCGCACAAATAGCTTGTAAATACTATGCAAATACCTAACATATAGATCATTACGTTTCATTTGTGTGTTCTTCATTTACCGTGTAATGTACATATGTAAACATATGTTTTTGTAACAATCTTCAGTGTTTCTGTGTATGTTTGGTTCCGTGTACATATGTACATACCTTTTTACCGCAAATTTTGGTGTGTCTGTAGATGTTGTGTTCCATCGCAATGTTCTGTTAGATTGTACTCGATGTTCACTGTTCATGACAGTAAATTTATTTAAACAACATGCTATAATCGAGTGCTCGGTGGCGAAAGGCTTCTTGCACATGGTGCAACGCCTCCTTGGTTTTCGCACAACCGACATAGAAACACACCATGGGCGGTTCGCAAGATTGGTCTTTATAGTGACCTTGTACCTACTGTGGCGGCGACGCTGTTTGCCGGAAGTGAACACAAACATCACACGGGAGGTGCTTACCCGCACTCTAGAAAATACGAATCATTCTGTGAACTCGCCTCTCTGAGCAGCTGGAAACACACGGCGCAGAGGCTTTGCTGCGATGATGGCACACAAGTTTCTTCAGAGTAAGGAAAAGACAGCTGGAGTCTCCAGTTGTTCCGTACTAGCCAAACGCCTACTCTAGTACCTAGGCATTCGTGGCATTCTCGGAAATGCGAACGATTCCATTCATTTTATTTCCCTTTTACTTGTAACATTCAGATACACAGATATAAATGGGCGTTTTAGTGGGATTTGTAAAATGCATACACTGTTTTTATTTGTTTTTGTTGTTTCATTTGTTTATGTACAGAATACGTCTACAATAGAACTTCCCTTCTTGAAGTATCCCAATAAAGTCTATCGCCTTTAAAATAAGGGCATACCTGTTACCGTACGTACGCTTATGCCTCTCTCGAACTATACTTGCCTCAATAAATTGCTAAATAAGGCTCGTGGTTCTCTTTGCATTTTCTTAAGAATACTCGAAGGGGCAATCAAACTTCTGATAAATCACTTCTTTTTACTCTAAATCGATTATACCGATTCTTTCCCGCTATTCCGCCAGCCCCATCTCACTTGACACTGCGGCTTTGATAGACGTACATGTGACCGCAGTACCAGTAAGCTGTGACAAGATATTGAATTTAGCTAAAAGCTGTGCTAGTTGGTCTCGATTCATCTTCAAAAGTGCGCCATGTGAACACGAACACCGTGCGGAAAAAAACAAATACGGTAAAAAACGCAACGAGCGAGCAACTAGCCTTGTGGTCGTTGCGTTGTGTAATGTATTTTGTTTTACCCATATCCGTGTTCACAAAGCGCACTTTTAAGTTGAAGATGAATAGATACGTAGCACTGTCAGCATTGGGTCAAGCTTCGTTGTAGCGCAGCAAAGGACATGGACAGCAGAAATAATGTGCGACGACCTACAGCTGCCTGTGTGTAGTACGTTTCTTTCTGGTGTCCATGTTCCTTGCCGCACCACATGTAGTTAGGCTTATGAAATCACTACAAAACCGTAGTGGTTTCCTGCAGCGTGACTTTAACCGTAATTATAATCCGGTCGATTCTATGCCGCCGATGAAACAATCCTACGATTGCCGCCTATGCACGAACTGCTGGTGCTTTCAGAGCCCAACGGAAAGCTGGCGCCGCGGATCGTGAAGGGCCAGGCGTCGGTGGAGGCAGCGCTGGGCGAGGACGCCGAAATGCCGTGCCTGGCCCGCGGTCACCCGGCACCCACCACCCGCTGGTTTCGGCGCTCAACACGTGGTACGTTAAGCCCCGTGCGGTCGGGCTCGCTGCATCTTCCGGGCGCCCTGCTCGTGCGTGCCGTCAAGGAATCGGACCAGGGTCGCTACACATGTCTGGCCAACAACAGCGTTGGCGAAGACCGCACAGACACCGAGCTGCTCGTCAGACGTAAGTCGTTCGTAGCATTTCACTGATTTCACACGCATTAAATCAACGTGCTAGTGACTGCTTTCGTTCCCTGATCTTTCATGCCGGGAATTTCGGGCGTAGTTTACATAGTTCTACAACCCACAGCGTAGACGTGGAGGTGGTGTTTTACGGATGCTACCTGTTGTGCTTACACCGCGATATCTTACAAGTGTCTTGGTTTTCTAGCATGGAAATAAGCGAGTGAACACCTCTATGCACGTGTAATAAAAGGGTGTGCGCCTCATGATTTTGGTTCTTTTCATATCTCTTCACTGGCATGCCACAATAAAGAGCGGAAAAAGAATATCCGTTTCTTAAAATACGACGTTTTCGAATATTTGAAGTAGGCATGACTTCATGGGGGAATCTTCCAAATGTTGGCTGATACGCAATCTTTATTACAATTGCATACCTTCAGAGCGCAAAGAGTACTTTCGTTTTACCACGAGTTGAAAGAAAATATTTATTTTTTAAAGTTAAGGATTAGTTGAAAAAAAATCGCGAATTTCAGCGCTAAGCCGCGAAAGGGTTGAAACAGTGAAACAGGGTGATTTTGGGTCTTAACAGGGTGATTTAGGTTGTTTTTTTCAGTTAAGTCCTGAAACCAACCATTCATGCCTCCCACAGATACAGGTCATCGGTGACGCAGGTCTACCATCGCTTAGCGATCTTATCGCAGGCGCCATTGCCTTTTCTGTTCCCTTATATTCTCTCGTAGTATACGTGCCAGAGGTCTTCATCTCGCCGCCGATTCTTCGCAGCCACGAGTCGACTGACTGTTTCGTTCTTCATTGTTTATTGAACGAACTGTGAGTGATAGGACTTGCCCAATTTCTGTGGCACATACCAGTTTGCGATGATAACAGTTGCCTGGATAGACTAGCGAGATACAGTCTGATAAACATATTTACTGATAAGAGGTGGTTAGTGTACGTGCAACCAGAAGTACACTCTAAAAAAATATCGAGTAAAAAGGGTGTCTTTTTGTCCCACAACAATAATCGTCATCATGCTTGCGTGCGCTTCCTTTCTTGAAAACTCGGCACTGGTCCACTTTCCTATCGAGAATGCAATGTAACCCCGATAATGGGCATGTCGATCGTGACCGGAATGTACCGGGCGCGGGGCGATAGTGCAAGGATGGAACGCCATATAGATGACGATTATTGTTGTGGGACAAAAAGACACCCTTTTTACTCGCTCTTTTTTTAGAGTGTACCGTAAAAAAAGTCTAGAAGCATGCCTTCCGCAAACCACCAAACTTGTTCTTTTTTTTTTTTGAGCGGAATCACAGCGTCAATGCTCTGAAAGTCAATATTAATGTCCTGCGAACAAGCTGCAAGTACTATAAGAAGCAAATAATATATTGCACCACTGAAATCGAGTTCACAGTTAGACACAAGGGAGAGACAATGGGATATAGAGAGAGAGTAAGAATAGAAAAAAGGCAGGGAGGTTAGCCAGGTTGAGTCCGGTAGACTACATGCACTGGAAGAAAGGGGAAGGTGAAATAGAGGTAGATAGGAGGACAGAAAGTCACTGATTGAGACGACGAGTAACAGTTTCACGTTTAACATAACACACGACGAATCACACCGGTGTCATCGAGAAAACACCGCAGCGCTTTCGTTGCCTTTCTGAACCGAGATGGGCAGCCCCGTGTTCCCAATACCAGAAAAGAGAGACAATGAACTTTATTCAGATCTCGAGGGTGACACCCGAAACAGCCTCAAGGGGTGAACTTTCATACACGTTTCAGCAGGTTTACTGTGTATTGTACACGTACGCGAAGAGATACATGGCGACCGCACATACTCGCAACTAAGCATCAAACGCGAAGCCATTTCGTTCCTGCTCCAAATACGCCAAGCCAGAAAGACACGGGCTGCTTAAAGCAAACATACGCCGACAGGACTTCAATTCCGATAAAACAAACACACGCTGAACAACCCAGTTTAACATATGTTCGGTTCGGACTGGGAAAGAGAAACAATGATGTTACCGTGGTTGGTGCGAAAAATGGGAGGGGGGGGGGGGCACATGTTACATTACGAAAAATACACATCGTTTATTTCCTTTATTGCTCCTCTGCGGAGAACCAATATAATTTCTTCACGGACGAGTGCCCACTGCTCTCAGCTTCCTTCTAATGTTAACAACAAAGACGGCTTCTGGCGGAAACGCAGATTTCGGGGGCAAAGAAACGAAATACCTTCCAGCTTGCTAATGAGCAACGGTGCTATACCACTTCCCGTCATTTATCTCTGAGGCCACAGGCCACCCTTTGTAATTATTCTCGTGGGAACCATTAATTTGAGAGAGCAGCTCGGTGGAGCGGGCAGGCACGCAGGGAGGGCTTTAAAACTGCGTTCCGCACCAAGTTACGGGAATGTCACCACAGCCGGTCGTTTATTACGGAAGCCATTCGTTGCGCCCCGATAGCCATTCCTATCGACAGTTCCGCATTGCCAAGCTGTTTCCTTCGAACCTAGAAGCCGCGCTATTTTTTTCGTCCTTCTTCACTTCTTGTTTCTCCTTTTGTTCTAGTCGGGTGGAATTGTCGGGAAGCAAGAATTATTGCGATAGCTCGAGGTGGCAACACATTCTGTCGCCTTGCCGACTGCCAACAGCCGCCAAACGTTAGCAAAGCAAAAATAGGGCAACAAAACAGTAACCTAACCATATTTCTCGAACACCTACCTCACTGCCTCCTTATCCTCAAGGAAGTCAGATGTTAATAATTTAGCAGTTGTGTGATGACACACATCATGTCTAGCCAAGTTCTCTTACAGAAATGTTCCCTTTGTGATACTGCACATGCGATCATGGCGATGAAGCTCAAAGCAATGTTTCTTTTTAAATGCGAAGCATTTCTGAGGGAACTTCGGCGACTTTGAGCGTATCTATCTATCTATCTATCTATCTATCTATCTATCTATCTATCTATCTATCTATCTATCTATCTATCTATCTATCTATCTATCTATCTATCTATCTATCTATCCGCCTACGACTTTTAGCTCTCCTGGACGTTTCGATAATGGTATCAATACCAAACATGGTATGGCCAAACATACCTGTATGAAGAACATATTTGACTTGTCATAACATGAAAATTATGACATGAATGTCATGAATCTCATGATTTGCATTTCATAATTCACATAAACAGCGCCAAACACGAGGAACAAGAAAAGAAGGAGAGAGACAGCGGCACTAACTTACAACAACATTTATTTGCTGGAACCACGCAATATATATTTGAACAGTCTCTAACAAAAAGAGAAAAGACAAATCAAAGAAAACAGAATTCACCTAACAACCGAGTAATCATCATGGTAACGCGCCATGAACCTCACGTGTGCCAATGTTCTGAAGAAAGTTTCTTTTTGTGATAGAGGAATCGAAGGCCTCCTGACACATACACTGCCCAGCCTTTCTATTTCTGCAGCCTCATAAATTTCGCGTATCATCTGGTCCCGATGACGCCTAATGACAGTGAAATGCTGAAAGTCGGGGACACAACCACAGTCCTCGGCAATGAATGCCGAGGTGGCCCAATACTGTAGAAGAGGCGTTGTGAGCGTGCTCTTTCAGCTGCTCATTTAAACACCTGCCTGCTTGGCCGATGTACCACTTGCCGCAGGACAGGGGTAGAGAGTACACCACCCCTTTGATGCACGGAACGTACTCCTTCCGATGCTTAATTTTGAAGCCTCGCTCTCCCCTGGAACTACGATTCACGGCCTTGCACATCCTATCCAGCTTTCCTGGGGCAGAAAAAACCAGGTCAACGTCGCCCCTGCTGGTCACTTTTTTGAGGTTGTGGGTGACGCCGTGGATATAAGGAATAACGACAAAGTTTCGTTTGTCTCGTCCCTTATCCTTTGTACGGGTTCGAGCATTAGTCTGTGGGCTCATTCTGATTTCTTGGAGTAGACACTCAGCGACGGCGGTCAAGACGTACATCGGGAAACCAGCCTCAGTGAGGCGTTTAGTTTGCTGATTAAAGCTAGGCGGAATCATGTTATGGCAGGCCCTTCGCAGAGCGTTTGTGCTAGCAAGTCTTAGCTATAGCGTGCTTCACCACTTTGAATGTGCTGAACCAAAAGGGAGGACTGGCTTGTTAGCGCGCGGCTCATAGGCCCAACACACGTGGGAAGGACTCAACATTAACATCAAATCTAGGAACCTGATGACTCCTCTGTCCGGAACTTCATGTGTTATACAAGCGGAGAGAGGCACTTACTGAAAATTTCTAAAATACTAGTCAAAGATGAAACGGCCGACGAGGTCCCAGCTTGAAACAACACGAGGAAGTCGTCAACATAGCGGAATACTTTCTTAACAGTTGTGGATTCCAAACAATTCTGAATGGCACGATCAAGGCTGGCTAAAAATAAATCACTTAAAATGGGCGCAAGGCATGATCCTACGCACACCCTTTGACGTTGCAAGTAAATACGATCTTCCCACTCTGCAAATGTCGATCTTAGGTAATACTCTAGCAGTTACATAAGAACTTCAACAGATATGCGTACTGTATTCTGATAATTCCCAATGCCAAAACTGTCAATGCACCCGCGAATGCAAGCTAGAAGCTCGAGAGAATGAGCTAGAACACGTACAAAGGATAAGAGCCGTGACAAACGAAGCTTTGTCGTTACTCCCTATATCCCCGGCGTCACCCATAACCTCAAAAAAGTGGCCAGCAGGTGTGACGTAGACCTGGTTTTTTCTGCCCCAGAAAAGCTGGCTAGGATGTGCAAGGCTGTGAATCCTGGTTCCAGAGGACAGCAAGGCTGCAAAATCAAGCATCGGAAGAAGTACGTTCCATGCATCGAAGGGGTGGTGTACTCCCTACCCCTGTCCTGCGGCAAGTGGTACATCGGCCAAACAGGCAGGTGTTTAAATGAGTGGCTGAAAGAGCACGCTCACAACGTCTCTTCTACAGTATCGGGCCACCTCGGCATTCATTG